AAAAATCTTGTTGTCAAATCCTCATAGTTCAAGATTAATATACTGGCATATATAATCTGTGGATTCAGAGTATTGGAATGTACCTCTAATCGTGTATGTACCACTAGCTTTGCGCATCGGCATTAAAGACACCTCATTGAAGCAATAAATATTCGAATTGATATAAGAATATTCAATAAAGTACGATTCATTGCTAACTCTATCGTCTTTTGTGATACCATCCCTAAGTCCACATCCTCCTCATAAGGCGTCAACTTTTATATTATCTCAGCACTTACCCTATATAGCTTATGACCTCGAAGAGTATTCACCACTGCAGCACCAATCAGATGCTGTACCAACGGCAGGCGTGTGCCCAAAGGCGAGTCCATGTCGATGTGCAGCTGTGTAGAAAACATTGCGCATCCCAAAGGACTCAGCCACTAGTTGAGCGGAAAAGAATATATTTTAAGACAAGTTTCATGTTCGCAGATAGATTCGATAAATTACCTGATTACCGCTGCGACCGACCCCCGCTGTCTGCTGAACCGGCAGCACAGCAATGCCATGCACTAGCTCCATGTCGTTGATGACATGCATTGAGCTACTCAAGACTGGCGCATAGATGACCAARCGTCCAATATGCTCCGTTTTCAGATTCTGCAATTGTAAGTAAAATATTAAAAATATGTATCTATGCAAATGTATTTTGTATACGAGCTAACACCCACATCAAAGTAATCGACTGTGGAGAAATCATCCGGACAGGAATGTATCAGAATGGGTAATACATTTGCGTTTGCGGCCGGCGGCTTGTCATCTTTGCCACAGAACTTAATTGATAATTTGGGCATTATGATGACGTTGTCATTGCTGCTGCAACGTGGACGCAATTTCTCCAGGAGCTCAAACTTGGACTGTAAATAGCAAAATGGTTAACAGCACACAGCTAAACATAGCTATAGGCAACACCTCACCTCATGACGACCCAAGAAATAGGCATGTTTGAAGACAACTGCGGCAGACGCAGCACCTTCAGAGTCGGTACTTCGCACCTGCACCTCCAGGTACTTGCGCAAYAGGTCCGYAAAGATTTCGATACGTATGCGTTCGCTTTGCTTTAAGATTGCAAACTTGACTTCATCAAACTCAAACTCGTTGGGATTAGTCTCCAAGTGAACCTGCCAATAATAATCCGTCTTTATCACTGAGAGCTTCTGCGAGCGAACTATTCCGTACAAACCTGAGAAAAGACGGCTTTGCCGCCACTCTGCAAGCTTTTAGCCAACATCAGACTAGGTGTATTCCAAGTCTCCTCAGTGCCCAACACTTTGACTTCCAACTGGTGTGTCTGACCGGTCAAATC